GTATTTAGTTTATATTTTATAAGTAAGTCTAATAAATTTGAGACTGTATGCCTGAAATCCGGTTTGGTATTTGTATTGGGCATAAACTATTCATCTGCTCAGTACCACTTCCTTTCAAGAGCCTCTTTTTACTTCACGTGGTCCAGTGGGGCTGTCAGTTGAACTCCTCTATCTGTGCATGTATATGCATAAGCACACATACAGACGTGGACATAAGATCAAGGCTCATCCTAATTCAGCCCTTGGCACGGTGACTTCCCTAGGGTGAGGGCATTACAGTTGTTTTTTCTTCTCTTCTTTTTTTCTTTTTTTTGGAGACAGAGTCTTGCTCTGTTGCCCCAGCTAGAGTGCAGTGGCATCATCATGGTTCACTGCAACCTCAAACTCCTAAGCTCAAGCCATCCTCCTGCCTCAGCCTCCCAAGTAGCTGGGACTATAAGCACGTGCCACTGCACTCAGCTAGTTTTTTCTACTTTTTGTAGAGAGAGGGTCTCGCTCTTGCTTAGGCTGGTCTCGGACTCCTGAGCTCAAGCGGTCCTCCCACCCCTGCCTCCCAGAGTGCTAGGATTATAGGTGTGAGCCACCACGCCTGGTCTTCTCTTCTTTTTTGATCATGAATGTTAACAGTGTAGGCTTGCGCTGCCTACAAATGAAGACAGCTTAACTGTCATTTAACAAATTATTGAGTGACAACTTCTTGCCAAGAACTGTTCCAAGCACTCAGGATACAATTAAAAAAAAAAAAAACAGAGCAATCCTTACCCTGATGGAGCTAATATTCTAAATGAAGCCAGTACAGAGTGAAGTAGAGCAAAGAGATGGAGACAGCTGTGACGACAGCATCAAGTCCAAGGATACACAGTCCAAGATGCCAGCACTACCACTGAACCTTCTAATTATTTGAGATAAATTCCCATTTTGCTGAAGCTATGTAAGCTGGAGTTGTGCTATAAACAAGCAGAATACATCTAACTAAATATTAACACCTATGATGTGAAATATGAACTTTTGCTCCCCTATGATGCTCCAGAAATTGCTAACAAATATATAAAAGTTTACCTTGTGCTGCTTATTACTCATCCACGATCGTAAACGAAAATCAATAGGTGAGTCTGTTTAAGAAATTAAAAACAAAAACTGAGAGACGAGGTTATTCCATCAACTAAATACCCAATAATACCTAAAAACAGCAAATGAACATTTTTATATTGAAATAGAATAGAAGCACTTTTAAATGATGGTATAGGAATACATCATGGGCGCGTTAAACTAAAAAATGTTATGCAGGGAATCCTAAAAAAAGTATACACATGCCAAATAACTTGAATATGAATCTAATCAAGATTTTACAGCCATCTTCTGCTTAGTAGGGAATGTGGGAAAGGCAGAAATAAGAGAAATGACCCCCTGAGTAAGGAAACTACAAACCCAAACAATGGGACAAACTACAGGGTGACTGCCCTACCCTATTTCAACAAGGCGTAAGACGTAAGAGATACAACAAAGCACCACAACATAACAAAACCTTCCTCAGACCCTAATTCCAGGAAATCATTATGTACTGGTGTACTAAGAATTAAGTTTGTTAGCTGCATTAATATCACTGTGGTTATGTAAGAAAATGTCCGTGTTTTTAGAGAAGGATACTAAAATATGACAAATAAAATGACATCTGGAATTTTTAAGTATCAGAAAAAGTGGTAATAAAAAGGGGAGATGAAGCAAGTATGACAAAATCTTACACTAACTGACACTAAGGGATAGATGTATAGGTTTTGTTAAAATTGATACATATAATTCAACTCCATAAAACTCACCCTTTTAAAGCGTACAATTCAGTGGTTTTTAGTATGTTCACAAGGTCGTGCGGCCATCACTATCTTCACCATTCCAAAAAGAAACACCATACCCCTTCAGCAATCGCTCCCTACTCCCCCTCGCCAGCTCCTGATGACCACTAATCTACCTTCTATGGATTTGCCTCATCTGTATCTACAGATTTGCCTATGGATAAATGGAATTACATACTTTGTCTTCTTTCATTTAGCATAATGTTTTCAAGGTTCATCCATATTACAGCACATATAGATACTCTGCTCCCTTTTATGGAAGAATAATACTCTATCACGTGGACATACCATATTTTATTCATTCATTAGTTAATGGACATTTGAATTGTTTCCACTTTCTGGCTATTGTAAATAATGGTGCTATGAATATTCATGTACAAATTTTTGTGTGGACACATGTTTTCCTTTCTCTTAGATGTACATCTAGGAGTAAAATTGCTGGGTCACACGGTATCTTCATGTTAAATGTTTTGAGGAACCATCGGATTGTTTTTCGAAGTGGCTGCATCATTTTACATTCTCACCACAATGTATGCAGGTTTCAATTTCTCCATATCCTCACCAATACTTATTATTTTCCATCTTTTTGATTATAGTTATCCTAGTGGGTGTGAAGTAGTATATCACTGCGGTTTTGAATTGTGTTTCCCTGGTGACTAATGATTTTGATTTTTTCAAGTGTTTATTGGACATCTGTATAACTTATATAGAGAAATGTCTATTCAAATCCTTAGTCTACTCATTTGTCTTTTTAATGATGAGTTGTAAGAGTTCTTTATATATTCTGACTACTAGTACCTTTTCACATATATAATTTACAAATATTTTCTCCCATTCTTTGGTTTGTCTTTTTACTTCTTGAAAAGTTTTTTTTTTCTTGCTTGTGAATGTGGAAGTTAATACCATTCTACTTCTGTATATGACATTTTTCATCAAGAGAAACACAAACATCCCTTAAAACTTTTTTACTTGAACATATAAATGTGCATGATTCGTTAATCTTATAACATAAAATCAAGCAAGGCCTTTTGAATATTGAACTACAGTTTGGAGTTACACAGTATCACTGCTGTAAAAGCCTACAGCAGTCAGTTTTCAATTTCCAGTTTTGATACCTTTGAAGGAAGAAAGAGAATATAAAGTACTTAAAAGTTATCACAAAGCAGAAGAAGCCGGTAAATTTTTTATTTTAAATGATTTTTCCCACATTTTTGTAGTTTCTTCCCCACGTCTAATTTGATAGCAATTTTTCAAATGACCAACCTTTGAGTATTTCCAAAGCATTCAAGTTGGTTTCTATAGAAATAATTTTAGAATTTATAATTCACCACTTATATAAAAGTAAGTTTATAAACAAAAATGACTCTTGATAGGAAACGTGAAAAGTACACAAGAAATAGGCTCCTTATCTTGAACATAGATGGCCTCTTTGTGCTGTGGCCATCCAACAGCGTGGTTTCCAAAGGAAAGGGGATTTCGGCTTCAATCAGTCAAGACAGTTAAGAGGAGAACAGTTAAACTGCGGTCTCCAACCCACAGGCCGTGGACCAGTACCAGTCTGTGGCCTGTTAGGAACTGGGCCACACAGCAGGAGGTGAACCAGCAAAGCTTCGTCTGTATTTATAGCCGCTCCCCATCACTGGCATCACCGCCTGAGCTCTTCCTACCCGAACCCCCATGGAAAAATTGTCTTCCATGAAACCGGGCCCTAATGCCAAAAAGGTTGGGGACCACTGAGTTAAGAGACCTTTTCCCATAAAAGTACTGTAAATATGACATTAATAGGTACATGTCAAATCAAAGTATTTTCAGTTTTCCATATAATAACACACACAGAAATATATACTCCAAAAATGGGGAAATGAAAATTAAAATATATACATTACAAAATAATTTCTAATAGTACCTTGTACTTGTTCCAGTGGTGAAGTCCTATCAAAAAGATCCTGGTCCTGAAAGGATTCTGTAGGTTTAGCTTGCTCTTCCTCTGGTCTTGCTATATCACTTTGAATAGCTGACTGTTTCACGAGAGCATTTGACAAATGCTGACTTTCCATATAGTTCCTTTTCCTACAGACAGAACTTTTGTATTAGAGAATAGAATAATGATAAAATGTTCATTGCTTTGGGTAAATCCGTAAAATATCTATTAATCAGTTATGTATTTCATCTCTCAAAAAGAAAAAAATGGATACAGTGAAAAGAAACATGTCTGGGTCTGGGCAGAAACTACAATTGGTGACACTATTGGTCATTCTGTGGACTGAATCAACATTTTGGGTCCAGTGATGTACACTCTATCAAAATCAAGGAGAATATAATATTCCTACTCTGCCTCTCAAGTGATAAAAAGGTTTTTTTTCTTTTGCAAGTAAGTATCCCTGAAACTATCATGTCTAGAGAAAAAGTGAGCTTTCTAAAAATAAGACAGACTTAAAAGATACTGGTGTATTTGCCAAAATAGCTAAATCTCTGAATTAGTAACCATTTTAAAAGTTATACTTTTAGCCCCTGCATCTGTTCTTGTCCGTATCTTTCTACTACCTCTGCTGTTTTATACGTAGATCAAAATATTTTTGCTTAAAGGCAATTCTCCTCCCAACCTCTGCAAAAGCTCTTACACCACAGCAAGAGGAGGGGTGGGGATGGAACTTCAGGAAAAAGCCTCAAAATGGAACGAATTCATCCTTTGACAAACTGATACCTAGAGCCAGACTCAAATTCGGCCAGGATGGATGAAAAAAAATAGCTCTTCCATATTTTGCAAATCCCAACCCTCTGTGCCTAAGGCAACTCTCCAACCCTAATTACAATTCATTTCCCAGTTTCTCTCTCTCTCTCCTTTGGGGATGTACTGGTGAGAAGGCATTATTAGCTTAAGCCGAAGGTGCACTCATGGGGTAGGCATAGGAAAATTTCACCCTGAGTACAAGGGAGGGTAGGGGTGGGTGGAAAGACTATAAAGTCACGTGGGTAGAGGGCACAGAAAGGGAAAAGGGTGGGGAAGCAAGACGGTAACGTGAAATAAACAAAAAAAAGGAGTTAGGCCATTTCGGTTGACTGCCTGATTTTAAAGCCCCCCTGGCGGTCCCCCCGCAAGAAAAGCATACAGTATGACCATTAGAACTTTAGGATACAGCAGGACAGTTGAGGGCAGGGCACACGCTACATTTACCACCACCACCACGCCCCCTTAAAAAATCTACTTCCTCAAAGCTATAGTTATCCCGTTTTTATTAGCCCATGAAAAATTTCCAAAGGAAGCCATAAGCTTCAAGATAAAGAGGCAAGAGCCATTTCCAGTAGTCCAATAAAATGACAGTAAGGAAATTTATAAAAGCGAAGCAATCTGGACAACCAGATTCTAGAATCTGAAAAGCAGATGGGGTATGCAGAAAACAAGAACGTTGCAATTGAGAACCAGAACAGAAAGGATCAGAAGCAGAGGAGAGAAGAGTCCTACCAGGAAGAACCACAGAGATGTTTTGTGAGTACAGGCAGAAGGGCAAGAGGGGCTCAGGATGAGAGCAGGAGAAAGAGGTTAACTGAAAGTCCATCAAGCAGCTCTGACGGGGCACCCGCCACTCCTCCCCAACCCAACAAACATTACAGCAATGTCACCACGGCAGTGGACACCTGGAAAGGGGGCAGGAAAAGAAGGACTTTCCTGTAGAAAAGGTATATAAATTCCTGTGGAGAACAAAGTGATGGTGGTAACAGCAGCCTAGAATAAAGCTTAAACATCTGGCATAAATTTGAGACTCCACTCTAAAGTGAATTCATCCAAGAACAATGTCCCACTCACATGGAAGCCAAATAAAAATGAGACCTACATACACAACAGCTAAGGATGCCCATGTTAGCAACCAGAAGGCAGCCACAAATAAGACATGAGGAAAAAAAGTAGCAGTTCAAGAGATAAAAATGAACAAACTAAACAAATAACCCCAGAGAAAAGGAATAATTTACAGAACTTTGAAAGTTTTCTATTTAGAATCTCAGAAATATTTAAGTAGCTATTATGCTTGTCCCTCAGTATATGTGAAGGATTGGTTCCGGGGTCCCCACATATAACAAAATCTGCACACATTTAACTCCCATAGTCAGCCCTTCCTATACTTGGGTTTCACATCCCTCAAATATTGTATTTTCAACCCACGTTTGGTTGAAAAGAATTCACATGTAAGTACGCCCTCAGAGTTTAAACCAGTGTTGTTCAAGGGTCAACTATACAACCACGAAAAGGAGCCATTAAAAAAACAAATGACCAAAAAAAGAGTTCTCATGATTAAAATTATGATTGTCAAATGATTTAATAAAGAGTAGTAAATTAGAAACTTATCTAGTAAATTAGAAACCTGTCTTTTTGCACTAAAACAGAAAAAAAGGAAAAAGCAATGGAAACAGATCAACCCGGGCAATCCAAAATAGTAGTTCCAGAAAGAGAAAAATACAAGAAAATTGCCAAAGAAATAATAATTATCTAGAACTAAGGCACACAAATCTCCAGATTGATGCCAATCAGAATTTGGTGAATGGGGGGAAATATCTCCGCTCACAGGGGACTCCGAGAGGACTCTAAATATTTCCAGACAGAAAAAACAGTTCACATGCAAAAGATCAAGTATCACAATGACATCAGGCTTCTCATATAGTGTAACAATGCCTTCAAAATGTTGTGAAAATTATTTTCATCTTAAAATTCTACAGTCAGCTAAAGTATTAATTCCAAGGTTAGAATAAAGACATTTTGAAACAAATAAATTCCCCCTCCGCCAGAAGGGGCCAAAGAAGCCGTCCCTCACACAGGGACTAAGGCCATGCCTCTTCAGGCTGTTAACCTCCACTTGGACTGACAACACAGGTCTTCAGATCATTCAGGAGTCAAGGAGTGAGACCACCCACTGCGTCCCAGACCACGTCGCCAGGCCTCCTGTCTTCCCTTAACAAGCACCAGCAAAACCACCTTCAAGACCTCCTCGCTGCCCGTAGAAGTCAAGAGGGTACTCACAAGAGACCCCTTCCCTCCCCCACTTCCACCAAGCTACTTGTTAGGGTTACCGATGATCTAACTTACGCTAACTCCAATGGTCAATTCTTAGTTCTCATTTGATATAGTTGGATAATTGTCTCTTCTTTTATACATGTTCCTGACATGGCTTCCAAGACACCATTTTCCTCCTACCTCTGAGCGCTAATCTTCATTCTCCTTATCTATTCCTCCTGTCCCCTCAAGGCCAGGCCTGGAGATCTTCTCTCCATCCACCTCGTGCCCCTGAAAATCCAGCCTCCTGAGTGGTCTTCCTGCACCCATTCTTGCCTCCCACAGTCTAGTCTCCACAAAGTAGCCAAAGAGAGCCTTTTAAAACATAATTCAGATGGAACCATCTTATGGTTTTCTATCTCTCTCAAAGTCAGAGTCAAGATCCTGCTCACACCCCTCCAGCCTCCTTGCTGCTCTGTGAACACACTGCGTCTGCTCCTACCTTGATGCCTTCATGGTGCACCCTCCACCTGTAGTCCTCTTCCCCGTGTCCCTCCCTCAGGTCTTTGCTCGTATCTTATATCCTCGGAGACCCACACTGACCACTGCCTTCAGCCTTCCTAATGACCCTTTTTATCATTCTATTTTTTTCTAGCACTTTTCCTTTCTAATATACTATAAAATTAGCATATTTTAATATCTTGTTTAACATTTGTTTCGTTCACTGCTATTTCCTAAGCACGTGGAAAAGTGCCTGGCACATACTAGGGACTCAGTCAAAAATACACAATGAGTGAATGAATATACAAGGGTTAGCATCTTTAATATTCAGAAAGTACTTTCAATCCCATAAGAACTCAAATATAAATTTAAACACAGAAAACAAGATTGTCTATAATACCACCATTACCATTTTGGTTTTACAGACCTCCAGACTTTCTTCTTTGCATATATGTACGTATATAAATTATATTTACCTCCAAAAATCAAAGATTAAAAATAGTACCATCAAATATTGGGTGGGCTGGGAGAAGTAGGCATTCTCAAATACATCTAGTGGGAGTATAAACAGGTACAAGTTTTCTAAACAGCAATGTGTTAATTTGTAATGGTCT